CTTTCCATGCTCAAAAATATTTCATTAGCTAATAATATTTTTGTGCACACAAGAAATTAACTTCAATGCTTTTGTTAGCTTTCTCATAATGGCCATGTTACAAGGCTAAGATTTCCTTTATATAGAGGAAGGAATGGAGTCAAATGCACATAAAAATCTCAAATTCAGGGTGTGAATTCTGAAATTCAGACATTTTCCAGTGATGGAAGGGTGCCTCTTCTAATCGCTATGTCCTAATGACACACACCTGAATTCCCAATTGTCTAACCTCTATGTTTCTTTAGGAGTTAAATGACACACACATGAACCTTTTTTAGACAGATAAAGACACATAATATTTAGGCAACATTTAATACCTCAACTCTAGTTTATCAAGCCCTCTAATTTACTGCATATTTATATGCATTTTATCTGCCATTGCTGTATCTTCACAGATCTTCATAAACAATGAATGGCATGACTCAGTGAGTGGCAAGAAATTTCCTGTCCTTAACCCGGCGACTGAGGAGGTCATCTGCCATGTGGAAGAAGGAGACAAGGTAAGTTTTCTAACACCCACAGGTCCAGTTGATGCCAGGATCTTTGCTTCTAACTGTTCTGAGTTCAAAGTCTACTGCAAGTTCAGTAAAACACATGGACACATGACAGCTCAGGCAGATGGGTAAATGTTCTGTTGTCCTTGGCATAATAAAATTGGCCATATATACATCTGGTAGACAATATAAATAACCATGATACAAGAGAACTTAAAAAAGAACATAAGATCAAGTGAACAAGAAACAGTAAAAATCACGGGCTATAGATCAGATGTTAGCATTTCTAATGTTACCTGGGGATTTAGAATTTGGAGGTGGGGTCCAAAACTTCAGTGGTCTGAGACTACTATAACATAGTGAAGTATGAACTATTAAATAACTTGTCTCATTTCTTAAGGGTTAGCATTAACTTTTAATATGGGACATGGAATTTTAATATAGTCACATAGTTAGGGTGCATGTCAACTAATCATGCCTTCTCCTTGATGACAAGAACGACACCCAGAAAGAAGACTACAAATCTGTAGATATCAGTTAACAAAAATCATGTTGTTGCTGCTTTAACACTGAAGCCTTGAACAGTTAGCTCCTATGGGACATCTTGCTCTAACACAGGGCTTGGTTTCATCAGGAAAAAAACCCTCTCTGCCTTGGTTCAGTAGAAACCTTGGCAGGTCAGGCAGGCTGAGGACTTTGCTGGGGGAATCAGTGAGGTTTATCTTCTTTCTCAGGCACAAAAGGGAAAGCTGGTGACCATGCCAGCAGCCTTGCCAGGGAGCACTGATCTGCTCTGTCCTTAGTGACAACTGCCCCTCCTGTAGAAAGATCAACAGGAAGAATTCATACCAGGCAAACTGCAAGCCAAGTCGCTGTGCCAAGCCGATCTGGTTGGTGGGACAAATGAGTCATCTAAGACAATGCAGTGGTTCTCAGCTTATGGATAGTGATGCCTTTGTTCGGGGTGGGGGGTGGAGGGGTCAAATACCTCTTCCACAGGGGTGACCTAAGACCATGGGAAAACACAGATATTTACATTATGATTCATAACAGTAGCAAAGTGACAGTTGTGAAGTAGCAACAAAAACACTTCTATGGTGGGAGTCACCACAGATGAGGAAAGGGTCACAGCATTAGGAAGGCTGAGAACGGCTGCTGTGATTAAATTGTTAGTGACATTATCTGTGATAAGCAAGAGCTTGCTTCACACCACAGTCCTGTATCTGTACCCTTTTTTGGAATTACTAAACAAATATAGAATTGTTGATGTTTAAACAATTTGTGAGGACTCTAATGAAGGGTGACGAGCATTGCTTAGAGAAAAGCTCTAACCTGGTAAAGATCACAGCAGAGTCTGATATTCTGGACTTCCTCATTAGGTCAAAGGCTAAAAGTTTTGAAGATTCCACTTACAAGCAGAATGGGGCTGCAGAATGGGTTTATATCCCACCTTTCATGGTATCTTGAGTGTGGGGCAGGGACCAGAGCAAATACTTTTTTTTTTTCACTTCAGTGGCTCTGACTTCAAAATTGTAACATTTAATTTTCCTTTGGCCACACGATTTGATGACAGTAAATCACAGTTAACCTAGTCACTGTTTTCTGTTTAATTCCAAATTATCTTGGAAATGCCAGCCCCTGAATAAAAATTGATAATTCAGGAAGCTTGAAGTGTAAAAAAACACTATCAAAAACATTTATGAGAATTGTAATGTTGGATAATGCAAAAATATTGTCACAAAATGGAAAATAATTATTTAAAGTATGATTTATTTTATAAATATCAACAAGAATAAGTCATAGGATGTAGCTAGAGTTTTCCTGCCTGGCCCACGGTCAGTACAAATCTCTCTCACCTGCCAGTCCCACAGCCACTTAGACCCAACCAAGTAAACACACAGAGACTTAAATTGCTTACAAACTGTATGGCCGTGGCAGGCTTTTTTTTTTAACTGTTCTTATATCTTAAATTAACCCATTTCTATTAATCTATAAGTTGCCACGTGGCTTGTGGCTTACCGGTACCTTACATCTTGCTTGTCATGGCAGTGGCTGGCAGCATCTCTCTGCCTCAGCCTTCCACTTTCCAGAATTCTCTTCTCTGCTAGTCCCGCCTATACTTCCTGCCTGGCTATTGGCCAATCAGTGTTTTATTTATCAATCAATCATCCACAGCAATAGGAGGCTTATGTGTCATATCCAAAACAGATGAATGTATTTATGTTTTTCCATAATGTCTTACTGCATGGAATAGCAACAAATTCCCAAGATTTAGCCATTTAAATAACAGCAATTTGATAGAAAAGCCACCCACCTTGATCATCTGCCTGCAGAGAATGCCAATTCTTTATTCCAGTATTGATTACTAACATTAATTTTCATACCACACATCACAAAGTAAGTGTGTTTGTAGCACAGTATATGCATATATGTGTTACTCAATGAATACAAGTTAAAGAGTCTGCAGCAGAGTTAAAGAGATTTCAGAAGTGGGTTAGAGAGAATCTCGAGAGGTAAGAAACCCATGCCTGGGCAGAGCTGGTGGAGGAGGGCTGGGATAATGTGGGAGAGAGAAGCTGCCAAGCTAAACTGCAAAATCAAAAGCCAAACTGGGTCTAGAACAGAAAATGGCATGTAAACAGACTGGCTGTCCAGTAGTCTGCTTCAATGGCAGGGACACAGCTGAGTAAAAGAGTCCTTGGCTCCTAACACACACACCAGGTATCAGACAATAGCTTCTTCAGAGGCCATGCCATTACAGTGTTAGGTGTCCATCACTTTATGGGAACCAGGCAAGGGAGTTGCACCATTTCCTGGGTGTCTGATAAGTTCTTTCTCTGCTTTCCTTGATTTGATTTTAATCTGCTTACTTGCCCACACACTTTCACTTCACCCTAGTAGCCTTACAGGGTGGCCCACTTTCTATCCCCAGGAAGAAGTCATTCGATCAGACTGTGCTAGGTAGGTGGTACATGATAGAGTTCCTGGGTCCACCTAGGGGCTACAATCATCTTTATCCCTCCAAATGGAGTCAAAAGCTACTCATCAAATGGAGTCTCACAGGGTAATGAACAGACTGAAAAAAATCATTGTTCTATACATATGGAGGTACTAAACAAACAGCAGTGACTATTTAACAAAGTAGTGCTATTGAGCATCCTTGCTGAGAAAATTGAATGTGGAGATCAGATGTAGCATCAAATGTTGGTTCTAATTCTTCTGTGTTTTACTAGCATAAGGTAAGATCTCCTTGTTTATCACTAAAACAGGGTTCATGATACTTAAGTAAAATAGTAACTTGTGGTAATAAAGAACTTGTCTTTCTTCTTGTAGCTTAACCAGTTCTTGATTATTATTTACCAGTGAGCTGGGTGCCTGGTGACTATTGAGATAGATTATTATATTAAAACAGGCCTTGAAAAATGTGTAAGATTTTGGAAGTATATGGGCTTGCTGGTAGGACATTCTCTATGCAAAAAGAATTTCAGGAGCAAAGATGAGAAGGGCTGGCTCAGCTGGATCAGGAGAAACATGAACAGGAAGTCGTTGGCAAGTGAAGTCTGTTCAGAAAATGTTAGACCTGAAAGCCAAATGGAGATCTTTGATCTTTGCTCTTAGGATTGTAAATGAAGCCAGCAGTTACAAACATCCAAAAAAATGTGATAAGATAAATTATGTGAAAGTTAACCTGGTAGCTTTAAAGAGAAAGTGGGAAGCAGAGAGAATGAATGGGAGGCTGTACAACAGTAAAAGCCTATGTAGTAGAGGGTAGAGAAGCTGAAAGGATGTGCTAGAATGGACTAGGATGCTGTGTAATCATTTTCATATTGGGTTGTCTTCTAGGACCACAGTTAACCCTATCTTGTGAGCATTAAGCATATCTGCCACATAGAGTGTGAGATAGCTGTGAGTTTATAGATAAGGAAAATGAACTTCAAACAAGTTGTAGCACAACTTCAGTTAGAGTAGAGTGAACCATCTGCACCCTCAGATTCCACACTGCTGAATTCAACCCTGGGATCTGAACTGTGTAGCTGCTGACATAGATGATGCAATGAGGCCTGCTACAGCTCTGTACACACTGAGTGGGCAGACAATTTTGGCCATTATTCTTGAAGCAGTATAGTTTATCTACTACTTACCTAGCATTTGTACTCAGCATCAGAAGCATAGTTATTGAGAAGATGTCTGATGGGTAATATATAAATAGTACATCATAAGTTTAGCATTCATGAATTTAAATTATCTTTTGCTGATTTGGGGAACAATTCTTCCGGGATACTAAGGGAAGCATGTGTTTACTTAGAATTCCCATTCCCAGAATTCCTTCAGTTTATGCTTTCTTTATTGCTTCTATTTCCATTTCTGGTCTTGAATAGGTTCCTTTACCTGGTTTTTTTTTTTTTTTTTTTTGTGTGTGTGTGTGTGTGTGTGTGTGTGTGTGTGTGTGTCTTGGCTTGGCTTCCTAAAAGTATGCAATGCTTCATGAATTTGTGTGTCATCCTTGCACAGGGGCCATGCTAGTCTTTTCTGTATCATTCCAATTTTAGTATATGTGCTGCTGAAGTTAGCTTGAGTCCTCTGTTTATAATGATAATGTGATGTTCAGTTGTGTGTTCTTCCCATCTAATGAATGTTTCAGAAGAAAGTCTACCCACAGTGGATGGATATTAGGGTGCTTCAAAACTAAAAAGGAAAACTCAGAATCCATTTTTTTTTTCAAATTAAAAATTCACATCTTTATTTTATTTCTAGTCCTGTAAGATTAAATATCTGGTTTGAGAAAAGGAGAGTCATAACCCAAATGACAAAACCACAAAAACAAATTTACTCATAACAGTTTTCTAGAGGCAGGGTTTTCTTGTTTGATTTTTTATTTTATTTTATTATTTTTTTTTTGCGTCCTGGTTACAAGATATCTCAAAGTCATTTCTCTTCACCCCTCGGTGAGATCAGGGAGCTCTCATTAAGCAAAGGCCAATGACAGAACACTGAGCAGAGGGATCCACACAGGGCTGTGTCTCACTAGTTTAAAATGTGTGGTTTAAAGACCACAGTATTCTCATTCTCAAGGTTCATTACGACAAGCTGAAGCCCACTGTCGTTTTGATCATCTGATTTACAGGGTTCCATGAGTTAGTGAGTCATGTGGATGAATAGTTATGGAATAGTCCTTACATACATACTATTTGCAGTTGACTTGATGAAGTTAAAAAAGCACATGGAGTAGAAACGGAAGGAACAGTGATGCTTTCAGCAGGTGAACTAGAAGAGACTAGAAGAAGTGTGAATATCTGCAGAGGAATGGAGTGGCACTGGCAAAGTTTGGAAGGGAAGTGGCTTAAGAAATTTAAAGGAGTAAATTAAAGGAAAAATGCAATGGTGATAAAAAGTACATGAGCAAAAACAGAAAAGCTAAACAATATGAGTGTGACTTTCTTATTCTATTTTGTTTCAATTAATGAGGATAAAAACAGTATATTAATAAAAGAAACCGTCTTCTCTACTTATTTAGGGACTAGAGTAAATAACTTTGTATGCCAGGGGCTTATCATACACACAAGGCTTCAGTTTGAATGTGAAACATTGAACACTAGCAGATAAATTTATCCAGTTGTCACCCAGGTGGTACCACTGTTATGAGTGGCAATGAAAGAATATGGACATGAGGGTCTAAGTGGCAGATGTAGAGCAATGAGCAGAACACATAACTTACAGCTACTCTATTTGTCCTGAGATAGCCTTTCTCTTTTTGCTTTAATTTCTTCATCTGTAAAGTGAGGAATAGGTTTTTCTTATAGCATTTTCTGTATCAAATGAGATAAAGTGTGTAAATTCACTAGAAACTTATTTCAAATAAAATAAACACTGTGTTCAACTACAATGGGATAAAGTAACAACTATTAAAACAGCACTTCTGTTCTAGGAGTTTAACTATTTGAAAAGGATATGGAGCTTGTTTGAAATATTGCTCAAGAGAAACAATTCCAGCAGACTGTGGGGCCGAGTGTGTGGAATGTTCTGGACTTTGGGCTAATGGAGACCTAGATTTTGTTTGTGAGGACTGTGTCCTAGTTTATGAGGGTGCAATGTTGTTCTTGCTCATCTAGTGTTTTGAACATCCTGAATTGAATGCTGTGTGATTTCCAGGCAGATGTTGACAAGGCTGTGAAGGCTGCAAGACAGGCTTTTCAGATTGGCTCTCCATGGCGCACCATGGATGCTTCAGAGAGGGGGCGCCTGCTGAACAAGCTGGCTGCCTTAATGGAAAGAGATCGCCTGCTGCTCACTGTGAGTATTAACCCAAACCAATGGGAGACAGTGGGGAAGCTCCTGAGAGCACTCAATGCTCCAAGTGGCTGCTCAGTTTGATTTAGAGCCAGATCCACAAACTACCACCTGCCTTTTCTCTAGAACATCTGAGTGCAGAATCCAGTTTTGCTATTCTCATTAAAGCTCTCCATGCTCTCAGGACCTATATTTTCTAATTTCAATAGTTAGATAAGTCAGTATAGAACATGGATGGAGGGTACATTTCCTTGTCTTTTCAGTTTTGAATTTTTGTAAAGCCAACTGAAAACAAAGTGGTATACAAGTAACAATTGAGAATAAATGTTATCAGCTTTAGAATCTTAGGTGAAAATAAGATTCAAACTTTTACTTTATTAAAATCTGCAATTCAGCAATTATTGAGAATCATTCATTCCTTAAGGATTCTGCATTGTTCAAAACATGCCAAAATAGAATTGATAGCTCTGAAATAAATGTATACTAACTGAAATGTTCTATTGACAGTCATCAGCATTTCCCAAAGCTTAGCTTTTTTCATTTGTCTTATTGAAAAGTGCTAACTTCCTCTGTTAGCATGAGAGCCACAGGGAAAGAAGAATAGATATAAAGTCATATTTGAGTTTATTTAAGATAGTGGGCAATATCAAACCTGTGCATCTTGCCAGGTGGCCACCCAGTGGATTGTATGATTTCAAAGCATCCTTTAAAGTCTTCATGAAAAGGGGAGGAGAAGATACTGACTGCTAAGATAGGAAAATGTGGAGCTTCATAATCTTTATTTTTCCTTTTAAGAAAAATAGATTCTTTTTCTCATACAATGTATCCTAATTATATTTCCCTTCCCTCTGCTCCTCCCAGTTCCTCCCCACCCCCCATGGATCCACTCCCTTTGGTCTGTCATTGGAAAAGAACAGTCTTCTAAGTGATAACAACCAAACATGATAAAATAAAATATAATTAGATAAAGTAAAAGCCATCATATTGAAGTTAAATACAGCAAATAATCAGAAGAAAAGTAGCCCCAAGAGTGGGCACAAGAGTGAGAGTCCCACCTGCTCTCAGGGTCAGGGGGTCTCATAAAAACACTAAGCTAGAACCTTTAATATATCTGCAGAGGATCTGGTGCAGACCCGTGCAGGCCCTATCCTTGCTGCTTCTGTCTCTGTAAGTTCATGTGTACCTTGCTTAGTTGATTCACAGGACCTTGTTCTCCTGGAGTCTTCCATCTTCTCTGGCTCCTACACTCCTTCTGCCTTCTCTTCCATGGTGTTCACTGAGCTCTGAGAGAAGGGATTGTTGAAATCATTATGACAATATTTCCCAAAAAGGCGATTTATAGTTAAAATCTCTGCTATGGCAAATCCCTGTTGAAAGATACAGTTGTTACAATTATGTGAACATACAATTAGAATTATATGAGCAGATTGTTTATACATGAGAGGAATATGATGATTATAGTGAATAGTTGCAAACACTAAATTGTTGCTACAGTGAGATGACAAGTACAAACTTGATGGAACTCCATTGGGACGTGGAGACTAAGAATCATTTTTACAGTTGTGTGCTTACGAAACCAGCTCTTAGACAGTACTTAGCCAGAGGTACTTAGTGTCTGACAGAAAGATTTGCGATCAGAATCTCACTACCTCTCCCACCAGGATCTTGTTATGTGACCACAGACAAGTCATTTGATACTTTCTTAAAAGGAACATTAGATTTAAGAATCCTTATATTTCCCAAACTCTCTAGTGCATAAGTACTAAAAACATTGATTGTATATTCTTGATCTAATTTTTATTGCTGAAAGTTTAGACTTTGATATTACTATCTTATTTCAGACAATGGAGTCAATGAATGCTGGGAAAGTCTTTCCCCACGCATACATGATGGATTTAGACATCAGCATAAAAACATTAAAGTATTATGCAGGTTGGGCTGACAAGATCCATGGGCAAACAATACCAAGTGGTAAGTACCTTTGGGAAATTGGCAATGTAATGGTAGAGGTGAGGCCATTAGTGAAGAGCTAGATACCTTCAAATTCTGCCTGATAGATGTGCCCATCAATTAGGTAAATAATTATTTTCCTCTTCACATTGACCCAATACAGTCTGATGCTGGAAGTGCTATTAAGAGTCAACATTGTGGACAGTTTATACAGAATTAAATTAAGAATATTCTCATAGACTCAACTACACTTTTCAAAGCTGGCCACAGAAATTATTTATTTGAGCTCCATTCCCACAATGCCATTCACATCTCTTCTGTGATATTATTACCTAAGACTTTGCATGTCCAGAATGAGTAAGCTGTGCAAATCTCTGCCCATTCAAGCTCAGTGTGCTTAGCTCAGTGTACTTCAACAACCCAATTCACACTAATGCTTTTCAAAAGTGTCAAAGCAAGATGAAGCTATGATGACCAGTCGAGTTAAGAATCTTTTTATGGAAATGTTGTGTGTTACTTAGTGAGGAAATGTGGTAGTATTTTATCTGTCCACCCTAATAAAACTTATCGGGGGTCAGAGAACAGAACAACCACTTGATTAGACATAGAGGCCAGACAGTAGTGGAACACACCTTTAATCCCAGCACTTAAGATCTCATGTCTTGCTTGGAAAAGACACATGCCTTTAATCTCAGGAAGTGATGGCAGAAAGCAGAAAGGTATATATGGCATGGGGACCAAGAACTAGAAGCTTTTTAGGCTTTTTAAGATTTTAGCAGCAGTTAAGCTGAGATCCATTTGGATGAGGACTCAGAGACTTCCAGTTTGAGGAAACAGGATTGTCTGAGATGTTGCTAAGGTAAGATTAGCTGTGGCTTATTTTGTTTCTCTCATCTTTCAGCATTCACCCCTACACCTGGCTCCTGGGTTTGTTTTTATTAATAAGAGCATATAGGATTCATGCTACAGTGAGGTATGCAGGTAGCATAACAGACACATGATGAATATTTCATGTGAGAAAGGAATCAGTTTTGGAAGGGTTGGAGTCAGTTTCAATTCTCTAACTGTAATGACTTTAGGAACTCAAATAACTCACTTCAAATTCTGTCTATGATGTGCACTTCCAATCTTACTGGAGGATACAGTATAAGAGGTATTAGCCAGGAAGTTAGAAGATGAGATTGAGATGACAGAAGTACTATGCAGGGGGCTCTTCTGTGCTTCTTACTCTACTCTTAGGAAACATAGAATAATCCATTCAAAGTATCTGTAGATCTTGACAGGAAAAGTGGTTGTGTGGTAGCAGTAGGTTCCTGTGGCAGCCAGAACAAAATAT